GGTAGGGGGGGGGGGGGGGAGGAAAAAAACTCATGATTGCCCCACCTTCATTTTCTTTAATATAAGAAGGGGAAGAGAGAATCTCTGTCAGGGTTTCAAGATTCTGTTATTATACTGTATAAAAATAGAATTCCAGTAGCTCTGTAGTCTGTTTCCTGACTGAGCCCACCTTGAAGGACTGACATTTGACTTCTTACCAATGACATCCACTCTACCTACTACCCCATATCCACTCACTTGCCTATTGTTAACAAAATACATCCCTGCCTTGAAGTAGAAGACAGATGGAGCTTGCTTTGTGTTCCTCCTTATTTTTATGACGGCTTTCATGTTAGTAGATAGCAAGTAGCAATCCAAGCAATGGAAAAGAGAGTAACAGGGAGATCCTTCTGGGATGGCAGGCTGTAGAAAGTACTCAGTTATATACATCTAGGTGTGGACCCTCGCATCAGTGACATATTTAGAAACTGGATTGCACATAGATGTATAGCTAATATTGTGGTTATCTTGGGGTCTGTTTCCACTTTGGTTAGGATGAATAACAGTAGCACTTGTGAATCGTCTCTAATTGTAAGTGAATCTGGATCTAACCTATTGTCCTGACAATTATTCTAGAGTTCTGAGTTGACTTGATCAGTGATGGTCTAGTTGTGAAGAAGAAAATATTTTATTTCTACATTCTGTTCTCCACTGATAGTTTTAGTTTTGAGTACAACCTGAAAGATATTATAACCCTACTTCTTGCTTGACTGCACAATGGATGTGATCATGTGAAATTAAAAAGAAATTGATCCTGAAATGAAATTTGAGTGGGCAGGAAAGGAACAAATAATCCTTCCTTGTGGGATTATTGCATATCCAGATATTAATCAGGTACAAATAGTAGTTATTTCCTCTGCGCCCTTGGCAATGACAGTAATGTTTTCCTAGACCTATTTAATTTGTGGGGAAGTATTTCATTATAATTCATCAATAAACAAAGAATCTGAAATAAATTAATTCAAGGTTAACCCAAAGAACAATTCAAAACAAAGGCTATCATACAAGCTAGAATGTTAATAATAGGTGTTATATTACCTATACATTTTTATTTAAATAAATCAATACATTTTTATTAATTATGAGGTCTCAGAGTAAGAAAAAACAGTAAAAAGGAAGAGGAATCTACAATTTCTTTGGCAGGTCTGGCAAACAGATACATATCTAACTAACAGGAAATTGCCTCTTAAAGAAGCAATAATCTTTAAATTTTACTTCATCTCCCTGTGCAATAAGATCCTCAAGGAATTATAGAGTCTGAATGAGTCATTTAGATAATCAAATCCACCTCTCTGCTCAGCACAGACATCCGGTTGCCTTTTGTACCCCCTTTGCTAGGAACTCCCACTCATCTTGAGCTTCCCATGATATTTCACAGCCACCTTCTGGAGCCCAAAAATCAGTTTCAAGGGATGGGGATGACATAACTGGAGAGTCTAGGACTACCCAAGGACATGTAGTGATTTTAATGGCCAAGGGTGAATATGCAATATTCCGTTTCATTACATTGATCCTCTACCAACGAATTTCCCCCCCCCCCCGCAAATATGAGAAATAACTAACAGCACTGGTCTTCCCTTGAAAGCACTTTATTCCAATTACATACAAGGACCAGGTTGAGACTATAAGAAGTGATAGAATATTAGGCCAAAGTTCATGTAATGTAGCATTTTAGATCAGCCAGTGGCCAACTAGAGGCATTCAATGCTCCATAAACAGGGACAGGATTAGTTAACATATGTTGGCTCTGATCAAAGAAGTAATAGATAGCCAAGAAGGCTAGTAGCATTAACAGCCTGATCAATGGATTTCTAACATTGTAAGAGGGAAAAGAACCTCTTTTGATCCACACTGTCCACGCCGTGAATGTTTTTATGTTTCACCATTATATTTCCCTTTTTATTTGTTTCAAGCTGAAAACTGTAGAAGCTGTACTCTTTCTCCACAAATTGGCTGCGCTGCCTCTGTAGAGGTTGGTTATTCCTTCTTGCCCCTTTTCCAGCTCAACCATATCCTTTTTCAAGTGGGATGACCTGAACTGTGCACCACATTCAAAATGCTGTTTCATTATAGATTTAAATAAGGGCATTTCCCCTCTGTTTTATTTACAGCTCACTTCCTCATGATTCCATGCATCGAATTTGTCTTTTTTTATAGCAGCTGCATACTGTGTTGACATTTTCATTGAAATATCTACCCTGTCAATGATGCTTTTTCTGAGCAATTACTGGCAGCTCATAATATATATATGAAGCTTGGGGGCAGGAGGGTTGTGCAAATATGCACCATTGTGTACTAGATTAACCTGAACTAACCTGAATTTTGATGCCCATTCAACCAGCTCAGAGAGCTCTTTTTGGAATTCTTTGCCATCCTTTTTTTGGTTTCACTATTTGGAACAACACGCTATTGCTCCCTTTTTTGTACATCCCTTAGACCAGAAGGATATAAACAAATAAATTCAAAAGCACCAATCTGAAAGGAGAGGAGAACTGGCTGAGAGGGTGAGATTTTGGATATCTCTTCAATCTGAAAATTCTCAACTTATTCTTATTTTTGCTTCTTGTTTTTAGCCAGTTATCAGTCTTTGATAACTCCAGACATACCATGCCTGTTGGATCGTCCCTATCTATATGTTGATGCTAAAAAAACAAAACAAAAATCAAGTCCAGAAGGCTAATGAAACAAGACATAGCCTTGCAGAAACACGGTGATTCCTTTAAAGCAAGGTTTGCTTTTTCTATATGTTTTAATAATACTTTCCATCATTTATTCAGAATGGAAGTTTATAATTTCTTGTATCCTCCCTCAATCCATTCTTAAAAGTTGTGTTGGCCGTTTTCCACTCTTTGGGATCAGATGCCAACCTAAAGAGAAGGTACACATTAGCAGTTCAGCCTTTTCACATTTTAATTCTTTCAAATGCTTAGAATAGAACAAAGTTTTAGTTGCACCTTTGACATATTGGATAGAACTGCTGGTACCATTAGCAGGGAATGTTGTGTGTGCACAAGTGCTACAAAAGTTAGTAACCTAGACTATCCCTTCTCTACCTTGCTAAAAAGACTTGATTGACCAAAGGTGAGGACTGTGCGGTATGGCAAACATCTTGGAATATAAGAAGAATAAATGGAAAATGGAAAGAAAAGCGGATACATTTTGTGTGTGCATATGAAGCTAAGAAAAAGGGGAAATGTAATAGATTTGCATGCATGTATTAATGTTGCACTCTATTAATCAGTGATTGCTGCATATGCTCTAATGAATAGCGAAAATGGAAGAAAAAGGAAAGTAAGTTGGGAAAGATTGAGCAACTTTCTGAATGAGAACAAACCAGAGACAAAAATATTTTTTGGATAAATGGAAATGAGATGAGGAGAAGCATGGAAGAAGTGATTGGGTCATTCAGAGACTCAAGAACGAATGAAAATGATGGTTGTTTAGTGAGTGTCTGTTTAGAAAAAGGTCTGTTTGTTTTAAATATGTGGCTTAAGCATAAGTCTATTCATACATGTACACAGAAAAGGAATGAATAAAAAATGATGAATCTGAATTTAAGAGAAATAGTGAAGGACAGAATGGTGATATGGAACAGATAATTATTTGTTAGTGGATCTTGGGGGGAAATAGGCATGAAAGAACTAGCGAAAAAAAAAAACCTAGAGTGAAAATAGTCAGATCAGTGACCATGAGAAGGGCTTCTGAATCCAGGAAAATTTGCTGTTGATGCACAAGTGGGTTCTGTGCAAAGTCTTTCCTGGCCATGCCTACCACCAAAGAGCACTTTGAGCAAAAGTTGAGAATCAAAAAGGATCCCAAATTCCACCAATTCTGCTTGGGAGGATACAACAAGAACTAAAAATGATAAGTCCCTGGATCCTTGAATCTGCAGTCACCCAGTCTGCTAGGGCTGGGCCTAAGCCTGTTACTCCTCATCCAGATTTTCATAGCCTCTAGGCACTGGACCTACATAGAATCACCTGTACAGCCAGAGGTTGAGATGTAAAACTGGGTATGATCTGCATACTAATGATATCTGATGCCATGCTGATGGATGACCTCACCTATTGGCCTCATACGGATGTGAA